TTTAAGGTGTACAAAAGTAAAATGATTTATTTTTCGATACAGGGCAAACAACAACTGTTGCAATACCAAAAACTACATTACGACCGACAACCACGCATTTAAGGACAACTCTTTTGAGGCCGACTCCTCTTTCGACAAGTACCCCTCTACTTAGACGTACAACGTATTTTTCAGGTACGTTATTGACGTTTTGTGCGAAAGATGGATTGATGGTGTCAAATAACTATCATAAATTTTAAAAGAAAAACTTATATATTTATATATTACTTTGTCTTGTAGGTAAAAGTGTTGTTGTCACATTTTCAATTACAAATGTTGACGGTTCAGAAGCAGTTTTAACAGCCGAATTGCTAGATCCAAGCTCGGACGAATTTAAGAGTTTAGAGCAAGAAATTTGCACCTCGGTAAGCAGCAATACATATATTATTTCTCTTTTAATGATAACTAAATATTGTTTGATAATGGTAGTAAAACGAAATATCGATATATGATTATTACTTTTATAGCTGATTGATCTATACGGTAGCGATGAAGTTGCAGCTTGTTCAGTGTTGAGCTTTAGCGCAGGTAGCATCGTTGCTAATGCGCAACTCGAGCAGGCAACTGGGAGTACGACATCTGATGAGGAACTGCAAACGGATCTCGTGACTGCAATTGACAATGCCGGAGGAATGTTACCTGGAAGTACATTAAAAGTTAATTCGTCGTCGGTTTCTGTTCAAGGTACTTATTACATTAATTTTGTTATTCAAAAAAAAAATGTTTTGCCTACAAATGTTCATCAATTCAATATTAGATAGCGTTTCGGTTATATAAATAGTAAAGTAAAATTATTTATCTTGTTGAAACAGGGCAATCGACAACTGAGGCTGTATCAAGAACTACATTACGACCGACAACCACGTATCCAACGACAACTCGTTTGGGAACGACGACTCCCGCAACTACCCTTTTCATTGGACGTACAACGTCTTTTGCAGGTAGGCTATAGTCATGTGTGCAACATCATGTATTGCATACCGTACTGGTTATAATGGTACAAAAGTAAAATGATTTATCTTTTCAACACAGGGCAAACAACAACTGTCGCTGTACCAAGAACCACTTTACGACCGACTACCACGTATCCAACGACAACTCGTTTGGAAACGAATACTCATCCACCAACTACCCCTCTAATTAGACGTACAACATCTTCTTCTGGTAGGGTATAATCCCAGCATGTAACCTCATTTATTGACTATTGTATTGTTTATATGTGAACAAAAATAAAATGATTTATTTTTTGACACAGGGCAAACCACAAGTGCTGCAGTACCAAGAACTACATTACGACGGACAACCACGTATCCAACGACAACTCGTTTGGGAATGACGACTCCTGCAAGTACCCCTTTCATTGGACATACAACGTCTTTTGCAGGTAGGCTATAGGCATGTGTGCAACATCATGTATTGAATACTGTACTGGTTATAAGGGTACAAAATAAAATGATTTATCTTTTCAACACAGGGCAAACACCAACTGTCGCTGTACCAAGAACCACTTTACGACCGACTACCACGTATCCAACGACAACTCGTTTGGGAACGAATACTCATCCGCCAACTACCCCTCTAATTAGACGTACAACATTTTCTTCTGGTAGGGTATAATCTCAGCATGTAAACTCATTGATTGACTATTGTATTGTTTATATGTGAACAAAAGTAAAATGATTTATATTTTGACACAGGGCAAACAACAAGAGCTGCAGTACCAAGAACTACATTACGACCGACAACCACGTATCCAACGACAATTCGGTTGGGAACGACGACTCCTGCAACTACCCCTTTTATTGGACATACAACGTCTTTTGCAGGTAGGCTATAGTCATGTGTGGAAAATCAAGTATTGAATACCGAGTAGTTTTAAGTGAACAAAAGTAAAATGATTTATCTTTTCAACACAGGACAGACAACAACTGTCGCTGTACCAAGAACCACTTTACGACCGACTACCACGTATCCAATCACAACTCGTTTGGGAACGAATACTCATCCGCCAACTACCCCTCTAATTATACATACAACATCTTTTTCTGGTAGGGTATAATCCCAGCATGTAAACTCATTGATTGACTATTTTATTGCTTATATGTGAACAAATGTAAAATGATTTATCTTTTCAACACAGGGCAAACAACAACTGTCGCTGTACCAAGAACCACTTTACGACCGACTACCATGTATCCAACGACAAGTCGTTTGGGAATGACGACTCCTGCAACTACCCCTTTCATTGGACGTACAACGTCTTTTGCAGGTAGGCTATAGTCATGTGTCCAACATCATGTATTGCATACCGTACTGGTTATAAGGGTACAAAAGTAAAATTATTTATCTTTTTAACACAGGGCAAACAACAACTGTCGCTGTACCAAGACCCACTTTACGACCGACTACCACGTATCCAACGACAACTCGTTTGGAAACGAATACTCATCCACCAACTACCCCTCTAATTAGACGTACAACATCTCCTTCTGGTAGGGTATAATCCCAGCATGAAAACTCATTTATTGACTATTGTATTGTTTATATGTGAACAAAAATAAAATGATTTATTTTTTGACACAGGGCAAACCACAGGTGCTGCAGTACCAAGAACTACATTACGACCGACAACCACGTATCCAACGACAACTCGTTTGGGAATGACGACTCCTGCAACTACCCCTTTCATTGGACATACAACGTCTTTTGCAGGTAGGCTATAGGCATGTGTGCAACATCATGTATTGAATACTGTACTGGTTATAAGGATACAAAATAAAATGATTTATCTTTTCAACACAGGGCAAACACCAACTGTCGCTGTACCAAGAACCACTTTTCGACCGACTACCACGTATCCAACGACAACTCGTTTGGGAACGGATACTCATCCGCCAACTACCCCTCTAATTAGACATACAACATCTTTTTCTGGTAGGGTATAATCCCAGCATGTAAACTCATTGATTGACTATTGTATAATTGTTTATATGTGAACAAATATAAAATGATTTATTTTTTGACACAGGGCAAACCACAAATGCTGCAGCACCGAGAACTACATTACGACCGACAACCACGTATCCAACGACAACTCGTTCGAGGACGAATCCTCCTTCGGATACTACCACTTTGTTTAAAGGTACAACGTCTTATGCAGGTAGGTTATAGCCATGTGTGCAAAATAATGTAATGAATGCAGTAAAGATTTAAGGTGTACAAAAGTAAAATGATTTTATTTTTCGATACAGGGCAAACAACAACTGTTGCAATACCAAAAACTACATTACGACCGACAACCACGCATTTAAGGACAACTCTTTTGAGGCCGACTCCTCTTTCGACAAGTACCCCTCTAATTAGACGTACAACGTATTTTCCAGGTATGTTATTGACGTTTTGTGCGAAAGATGGATTGATGGTGTCAAATAACTATCATAAATTTTTTAAAGAAAAACATATATATTTATATATTACTTTGTCTTGTAGGTAAAAGTGTTGTTGTCACATTTTCAATTACAAATGTTGACGGTTCAGAAGCAGTTTTAACAGCCGAATTGCTAGATCCAAGCTCGGACGAATTTAAGAGTTTAGAGCAAGAAATTTGCACCTCGGTAAGCAGCAATACATAAATTATTTCTCTTTTAATGATAACTAAATATTGTTTGATAATGGTAGTAAAACGAAATTATCGATATATGATTATTACTTTTATAGCTGATTGATCTATATGGTAGCGATGAAGTTGCAGCTTGTTCAGTGTTGAGCTTTAGCGCAGGTAGCATCGTTGCTAATGCGCAACTCGAACAGGCAACTGGGAGTACGACATCTGATGAGGAACTGCAAACGGATCTCGTGACTGCAATTGACAATGCCGGAGGAATGTTACCTGGAAGTACATTAAACGTTAATTCGTCGTCGGTTTCTGTTCAAGGTACTTGTTACGTTAATTTTGTTATTCAAAAAAAAAGTAAGGTTTTGTCTACAAATGTTCATCAGTTCAATATTAGATAGCGTTTCGGTTATATAATTAGTAAAGTAAAATTATTTATCTTGTTGAAACAGGGCAATCGACAACTGAGGCTGTACCAAGAACTACATTACGACCGACAACCACGTATCCAACGACAACTCGTTTGGGAACGACGACTCCTGCAACTACCCCTTTCATTGGACGTACAACGTCTTTTGCAGGTAGGCTATAGTCATGTGTGGAACATCATGTATTGAATACTGTACTGGTTATAAGGGTACAAAAGTAAAATGATTTATCTTTTCAACACAGGGCACACAACAACTACTGCAATACCAAGAACTACATTGCGACCAAAAACCACGTATCCAACGACAACTAGTTCGAAGACTACTCATCCTTTCGCAACTACCACTTTGTTTAGACGTACGACGTCTTCTGCAAGTAGGTTACAGCCTTAGTGTCCAAAACAATTAATTTACTAGTGTATTGGGTATATGTATGCAAAAGTAAAACGATTTATCTTGTAGAAACAGTGTAAAAAACATCTGTGGTTGTACGATGAATAAACAAATTATCAAAAACAATTTGTTTGTGGACGACCCGTATTTCTGCTACTACCAGGCTGGCTATAGTCATGTGTGCAAAATCATGTATTGAATACCGACTAGTTTTAAATGAAGAAATGTAAAATGATTTATTTTTCAACACAGGACAAACAACAACTGTCGCTGTACCAAGAACCACTTTACGACCGACTACCACGTATCCAACGACAACCCGTTTGGGAACGAATACTCATCCACCAACTACCCCTCTAATTAAACGTACAACATCTTCTTCTGGTAGGGTATAATCCCAGCATGAAAACTCATTGATTGACTATTTTATTGCTTATATGTGAACAAAAGTAAAATGATTTATTTTTTGACACAGGGCAAACCACAAGTGCTGCAGTACCAAGAACTACATTACGACCGACAACCACGTATCCAACGACAACTCGTTTGGGAACGACGACTTCTGCAACTACCCCTTTCATTGCACGTACAACGTCTTTTGTAGGTAGGCTATAGTCATGTGTGCAACATGTATTGAATACTGTACTGGTTATAAGGGTACAAAATAAAATGATTTATCTTTTCAACACAGGGCAAACAGCAACTGTCGCTGTACCAAGAAGCACTTTATTACCGACTACCACGTATCCAACGACAACTCGTTTGGAAACGAATACTCATCCACCAACTACCCCTCTAATTAAACGTACAACAGCTTCTGGTAGGAATCCCAGCATGTTAACTCATTGATTGACTATAGTATTGTTTATATGTGAACAAAAGTAAAATGATTTATTTTTTGACACAGGGCAAACCACAAGTGCTGCAGTACCAAGAACTACATTACGACCGACAACCACGTATCCAACGACAACTAGTTCGAGGACTACTCATCCTCCCGCAACTACCACTTTGTTTAGACGTACGATGTCTTCTGCAAGTAGGTTATAGCCTTAGTGTCCAAAACAATTAATTTACTAGTGTATTGGGTATATGTATGCAAAAGTAAAACGATTTATCTTGTAGAAACAGGGTAATGAACATCTGTGGTTGTACGATGAATAAACCAAGTATCAACAAACAATTTTTTTTTGTGGACGACCCATATTTTTGCTACTACCAGGCAGGCTATAGTCATGTGTGCAATATCATGTATTAAATACCGACTAGTTTTAAGTGAACAAAAGTAAAATGATTTATCTTTTCAACACAGGACAAACAACAACTGTCGCTGTACCAAGAACCACTTTACGACCGACTACCACGTATCCAACGACAACTCGTT